GGCCGGGAATGGGGAGCCAGCCCTGCTGGCCGAGACCACAACAGGCTCATAAGATCAGAGCCATGGGCCTGGGAGTAAGAGTGACAGACAATGACATGGGGTGACAAAGGCCATCTCATGCAGTGCTGGTTAGAGAAGCACTAGGTTTAAAGGGGGAGTGGACATCGGGTGTGTCTGAAAGGACACGCAGCTGTTCTGTGCACAGTAGGTGACAGCATTCAGGATGGAGGCTGCTGCGGTGGGGGACAGTGACGTGAGCTGAAGGTGGCCTGTTCACGGCCACACTGCGAGGCTGGAAATGGAGAGAGCTTTGAAGCAGCTCATGCTCTGGAAGCAGTGTAGACACAACTCAGTGACGGACTGGATACGGAGGAGAAAATAAAAGACTTTAATGTTACTCTTCAATTTTTGGCCTGTGCTGCTAGGAAAACAGATGCTCTATCAAATGGGGGGGTGAGGAAAGAGGAGGTGAAATGCACACAGTAGGATGCGGTGAGCAGGCAGGTTTCAAGAGTTTGGTTTGCATGCACAGCTTGATATGTCTGCCAGTTCTCCCTGAAGAAAGGTCCAGCAGGCAGTTAAATGTGCAGCTGTGGTGGGGAGAGGTGGCCAGGGAGCATTCAGAATTAGCACAGAGGAAGGCAATCCTTATGCGACTGGGTGATGGCACTCGGGAAAGGAGAAGAGGAGAGGGGGAATGAGCTGGAGCTCTGGGACACTCCAAGGTCAGTGGCTTGGGAGAGAAACACAGACCAACGCAAATGCCAGGTGCCCAGGAGGACCGTGCTTCCACAAGGAGGAGGTGGTCGGCCCCGTCCAGAGCTGCCAAGAAGCTGCACAAGCAGAGCACAGAAAGTCAAGTGCATTTGCCTAAGTAGACATGGATGACCTTCACAAGATGTGTCTGGAGTCCTAGGGGCAAAAGCACACAGCTCACCTCACAGGAGGCTGGACCCAGAGAGAAAGAAGCAAGAGACAGCAGTTGCAGAGAATGGGTACAGAGAGGCAGGGTGTGGATGAGACCAGCAGGGTAGACAAGAAGTGAGTTCCCTCCTATGCAGGGGCTGGTGGGTACAGCCCTGGCAATCTGAGGTGCACAGGGGCAGGGCAGACAGCGCCACCCAGAGGTGGCAGCCTGGAGAGTTTTAGCTGACAGCGGCTTTTGTTCTGGCTTCCGTGAATTAGAAGTATCTTTGTTGAAAAATAGGGTGTAGGCATTAAAGTTCAAATTAGATCTTTACTGTGAAAGCCACAGGGCTCCTGGAATTGTACCAGAGCCTGCACTGTGGGGTGGGATTCTTGAGTGGCTAATCCGAGAAGCTCTCTACAGTCATGTATAGGGTGAGGACGGTTTGGTCAACGTTGTCACATTGTGTGTACTTCCAGGTGGCCCTGTGACTTCAAAGTCACTTTACGGTGGGCACACTCCATAGTGTTCTCATAGTGGAACTGCCTAGCCACCCATGCCAGGGCATATCACTGCCACTGAGCAACAAGGACTGTGTCTGTTAGCACCGTTGGTGACACTCAGAACAGCCAGGCTTGAAAGCCGCTCAGAGAGGCCAATTACTCTTCTGATTACCATTCGTGCTATCCAGTGTCCAACGGCCGTCGGAACTAGCAGGGCCCCAGAGCAGGGGAGGGGAGGAGGAGCGGGCTTTCATTTCTAATTCAGCCCCTTGCTTCTCACTGTCTGTTCAGTAAAGAGCTACTTTTAAGTTCCTCTTCTGACTAGCGCGCCTGCAAGATGTGATCACATTCATCATGGCGAGCTAGTGCAGGGACCCGGCACATCTTCGTGCTTTTTCTATCCCCTTCCCTTCCCTCCATCTCTTGGTCCTCTTCATATTTGCAAAAGCTCTCTCCCTGTCTCCTATTATCTGTCCTTCAGTTTGCTCTTTATTTATACTTTGGGCTTCTCATATAAGAGAAACCATGTACTATTAAGCTCCTGGGTCTGAATTATTTCCCTTAACGTAATGATCACAAAGTACAACCATTTTTCTATAAGTGACTCAGATTTTTCCTTCTTTATGGTCCAGTAGTACTCTGTTGCATAACTGAAGAGATTGGAGAGGCTGAGGGTGAATCAGGAGGATTTTTGATGTGTACTCCTGGCTCAGTAGACTCCTGGCCAAAAGACTGAGCTCTGAACAAAGGAGACTCTCCCTTTTTTATACATTTTGTTGAGAGAGTTGGGGTGCAAGTGGGGTTAAAGAAGCTGAGACAAAAGCAGTTATTTACGGAGACAGTTTACAATTCAGCCGTGAAGAAGACAGATTTCAAGAATTCTGGGATGTCACAGGACTCTGTGTACAGAATACACTTGTCAATCTTATCTGCATCTCCTGAAAGAAAGCAGGTCGCAGGATGTCACTGGGCTTGTTCCACAGAAACAGTGATCGTCTGCCTTATCAGTATCTAAGCAGAGGTCAGCCTTGAAGGTAAGCAGATGCCTGAGAAGCCAGGACATCACAGGACTCGACTTACAGGAATGTAGCTGTTAGCCTTATCCGTAGCTGTGGCCCTGGGTTATAGAGAACGGAGTCCAAGGGGGAACTGCTCAAGGCTGAGATAGAAAAACTGATTTTTTCTAAATTCTGCTCTAACCCCATTGTGTGTAAATACTGCATTTTCTTCATCTCTTGGCAGACAAAGGGGCTGCTTCCAAGACTCAGATGTTCGAATTGTGCTGCAGTAAACATGGATAAGCACACATCACTGTGATATGAGGTCTTTAACTCTTTGGAGAGATACTTTAAAGGAAAATGGCTGAGTTGAGTGGAATTTCTAGCTTTGCTTTTTCCTGGCTTTCATGTACCAACTCATTTGATGAGTGTGTCCCTAAGAAACTGTCAAGCACCATATGATGAGGCCAGGAGTGACTCCCTCACTCCCTGGCATGTTTGGTCCCTGGCACTCCGTGGGCGTCTTCCAAGTGGGGACCCGAGCAAGGCCTGTGAAGATGCCCTGTTGGCTCAGGCTGCTGGCTGCAGGTCTCCTGTTCCTCCCTGCTCCCAGCCATTGCCAGCTGCCTCCTCAGGCTGCGTGGGCTCCAGTGAGGACCATGGGGAAGCCCGAGAGAGCTACCACTGGATTTCAAGGTTTAGCCAGAGACAGAAATGAGCACCCCCTGACTCTTCTCCCAAAAGCCAGAGTCTGTAACCTTGCCCACCTGAATCAGGGAGGTCAGTCTTGAGTGGAATTTTTAAGTATCTGCTGAACTGTGTGCTTTGTTTCCATCATGAAGGCCTACCTTCCAGGGCTGCAATGTCTACATCTACCTTCCAGGGCTGAGGTGAGGAAGGGATGAGCTCCTCTTCCCCATGCTTACAGGGGGTCTCTCACCTAGCGAAGTTCAGCAATGAGCTGGCAGTCATTTTCCAAGTAAGGAGAAGAAAGCAGAACAAAGGACCACAAAGTCTCTTGGCACCTGAACCACAGAGCTGCTGCAGGAATTCAGGGCTATGATGAGTCGTGTGTCTGAACAGTGCGGAAGGGGGACCTGTTCGTGAAACAGTGCTACTTCTGGCATGCAGCAGTTAATAACTATTGCCATGAGCATTTGCCCAGCCTTGCTTGAGCAAGTTGGTCTGGCCTTTTACTTAGGACTATAATCGATCAAATCCAACATGCCACGGGTACAAGAAGTATTTTTTTTTTAATTTTGCTTTGAAGGTAGTAAAAATACAACAGAACAACACAGAACAAAGCCAACTGAGACAATGCAGCGAAATTGGTACAGAACTTCACAGCAGGATACTGGGATGGTGGTAATAGGTACTATGGTATATCTCATTATCTTCACAACAGTTGTCCAGTCAGTTAGGTATAGTGAAATCAAACCAAAAACAGAACATTATAAAACCAATTGAAAGAGAATATTGAATAGAGCAAAACAACCATAACAAAACAAAACAGTAAAAACAATCTTTGCCTTCACACAAAGATACAAGAAAATCCCCCATATTTGTTATACTGCATATGGTCCTCCTCCCAAGAGATGCTCAGACCTCTGTCTCCAGGGGTAGGTGAGGGTGGTTGATTCTCAGCCTGAGCACTAGTAGCTCATGGGAGCCATTGACTGGTCCTTCTCCTGGCTCACACCAGGGGTGCTTACCAAGAAGGCGGGCAAATTGCTTCCTTGTGCAGCAGCCTAAATTCCACCATGGCCAGATCTTGGGAGCGGCTGATTCTCCATATTGTTATTTTGTGTACCACTAAGAGAAAGAAGGAGAGAGAGAATGGGAGAAGAAGGAGCCAATGAAAGCTGTAGGTGACCATGCTGGCTATCAAGTTAACTCCACACTTGGCCCGCTGTGTCCCACTTTTAGATGCTGCGGCTGGGAGCTGTACCTACCCCTTCACATTTGTCCTTTACCAGTGGGGCATTAGGAGAAGTAGAAAGGACCTGGTCAGTTTTGGGGCCTGAATTTCCTGCCTTTCTCAGCAATGACTGTGGCAGTTGACTCAAGCTTGCAGCTTCTGGCCTGTCCCCAGAACTAGCCTCCCGGCATTCCTCAGAGGGGATACCCAATGCTCTGAGCCAGCTTTCAGGGCCCCCCTCCCAAGTCTCCAAGTTATCAGCACCACTTCCAGGAGTCTCCCATTTGAGCAGCACCGTCCTTTGATACTTGCTTGACAAACTCCCTGTGTTAAATTCTCTCCATGAAAATAAGATTCCCTTTTCCTGCCTGGATCCTCACTCATGCATCATAAGATGTCCTTGCTTTTCAGAGAGCTTAAACAAAAGTCTTAGAATGGATGAAATAAAATGCTACAACAGGGAATTCATGGATGCTAGGGATGAAGGTCACTTTGAAGTGACCTCACTGACCCATGTGAGCCTTGCTCCTGGTCACACAGCCTAATTCCTAGACCAGCGCTCTTCCCCTGGTGCCTGCACCTTGCACTGCTAAATTCTCTGAAGTCCTAGGACAGATGGGTGAGTGATGCGCCTCACAGCAGGCTGTCCTCATGAGCACCTCCTTTCTTTCCAGGAAGCACATGCTGCTGGTCAACAATGGCTTCGCGATTTCCGCTGCATTGCTGATGGCCTGTTCTCTCCAGGCAGGTGCCTTTGAAATGCTCATCGTGGGACGCTTCATCATGGGCGTGGACGGAGGTGAGACTTTGCTGTGGAGGGAGAGGGGACAACAACACTGTTCTGGGATTGTCTAGATGCCTTTCGGGTGTCACACACTGGGGCCGCTAAGTGGCATTGAGTTTGTAGGGACCAAGGACACTGGCATCCTGTGTGAAGTGTTGGTGGTGATGGGGTCCATGGGATAAACCACTTCACCCATAGGACTCCAATACCCTGCTCTCTTTCCTCAAAAATAAGAGCAAGCCAGGAAATAACCAGCCTTGAAAACTAGAGATCAAAAATACCAGCCCCAATCAGTTCATACTGGCCTTATCATACATCACTATTCTCCTGCTGCTTTGTAGGGCTGCGTCTTATTTGGGGGGAAAGAGGGTAATGGAGTCTACCCTAGGCTGGGTAGATCCATGTCAACTGCAAATGCTTGGAAGATCTTAATGCGTCACACCTTCCCTTGTCACCCTCACCGTTAAGTCCACATGCTAGTGCCATCTGTGGTTTCTGGGGAGCTTTTATGAGGATTATGTTTCCACCTGGGCCTTTGACTCATTCTTTCTTACATTTATTCACCGAGCATTCCTGGTGTTCTGTGTGCTGGGGACAGGATGGTAAAGAAGGCCCTGATGTGGGTCTTAGGTTCTAGGAGGGTGACACGTTACACAGTTATACACCTAAGTCCTGGGAAGAAAAGGTAGCAGGGTCGCAGGGGCTACTTTAGAAAGGCCGGTCAGGGAAGACTACTCAGAGGAAGAGTCACAAGCAGAGACCAGCATGAGAGCTGAGGGCGTGGGTCTGAGCAATCAGGCTTCCGGCGAGAGGATGGTGGCACCGGGGGAGGGCTACGTGGCCAATCTGAGGGACGGTGAGGGGCAGTGTGGTTTGGGCATCGTGAGTGAGGGTGGGGGAGTGGCAACTGTTGAGACTGTAAAGGAGCTGGGGTGAGATCACAGAGGGCCTTAGCCATAGACGGGTTCACAAGGGGAACCTGGGGGGGCACCAGAGAGGGGGACATGAACTGCTGTGTTTCAATAGGATTCCTCCCCCTCCCCCTCTCCCCCCTCCTCCTTGTCCTCTTCCTCCTTCTGCACAGCGAACATAATGAGGTCCAGGAGTGGAATCAGGCTGGCCAGGTGTCCAGGAAGCAAAGGTATAGAGCAGACACCACAGTGCTAAGGAAGGTGGTAAAGATTCCAGCTGCAGGAGTGAGATTTGGAGACTTGAATACACTATTTAAACAAATGGAAGAACTGCTTTCTTTCTAAACATGAAGATCTGCAAAGCGTTACTTTTAGATATTTGTGGGAGGATGGCAAGCCTTGAGATGGGGAATACCCGTGCTTCCATTCAGTTCTGCCACTTACCAATTTCTGACTTTTAGAAAGTCACTTAGAGGATCTCAGCCTCAGTCTCCCCACTTATAAAATGGAAATGAGAACAGTCATACGAAGAGTCATAATCAGGCTGAACTGAAACTGTGTATCACATACACAGGCACACACACACACACACGCACACACAGGCATACACACGGCCTAGCCTGGTGTGCACTTGTGAGAAGTGATTCCTTTCTTTACTGACTGCAATGCTGGGGATACTTGGCCTTCTAAGTGAGGGGCTTAGAAACACACATCTCAGACCAGGAGAGTAAGGGGAAGGTGCGTTGCAAGTAGAACCAGGAGAAAAGACTGTTCTCTCACTGTCCCGCTATGAGGAACAATTCAGGACTTAGTAATCGTCCACACTTGGGAAGAAATTACCCCTTCATCTTGGCATTCTTGTATAAGGGAAACCACTACAGAAAGTTTATCAGTAAGAACAGCTGGCCATTTCTTTGGAAAACTGTGGTCTCCTCTGTTTTGATTTAGATCTAGGATGTCCCCTCCGCCCCCACCCAAAGTCTCATGTGTTCAGAGCAGGGGTCTTTGGCAGACAGCTGGACCATGGATGCTGTTCACAGTGAAATGTGCTGTTGAACTGTAGGCCCTGGCTGGAGGTGATTTGCTGCAGTGACCTGTAATGGCATGTTCTTGTCCCCAGCTCCTCTCTTCTCTCTCTCTACTTCCTAGTTGCCATGGGAAAAGCAGATCTTCTCTGCCAGACCCTCCTCACACCCCCTCTGCCTCAGAGCCAGCTGACTATGGACTGAACCCTTGAAATCATGAGCCAAAACAAACATTTCTTCCTTTAAGTCTCAGTTTGCGTGTCAGATATACAGTGACAAGTCTCTTCTAACCAGGCCCCTCCTCTGAACCTTAGATTACTGAGGGACATTTAAATGTAAACTGTAACACACAGGACACCTTCCTATAATGGACCTTTTCTAGAATGCTTAAATAAGAAAAAAACATTAATTTTTTTAAACATGGAAACAAATGTTAATACAGTATACCACTGGAGGCAGATTCATGTAGATTCCAAAGTCAAAATAGGCACACAGAGGAGTGTTGTGCAGGTAGGTTGTGTGGGACATGTCTGTGCTATGAACTTCCTGGGCCAACCCATACTCCCAGGCTGCAAGCCTATGTCAGTGGCATGAAGTGGGAAATTCCAGAAACAATACCTAAGTTCTAAATAACTTGTATTAAAATATATTGGTATAATTTTCTATTTTATCATTAGTGTTTCTTAATCTCTCATTGTGCCACATTTATTACAGGTTTAGGTAGAGAAAGAAACATAGTCTAGTTTGGTTGTAACCATGGTGCCAAGCATCCACAGGGCCCTGAAGGGAAGCCCATGGCTAAGCGGGAAGGATGATACTTCTGGACAGCACAGAGTCCAAGGAGATGAAGATGATGAGGATGGGAAGGGCTGACTTCTGTACTATGGTCAGGAAAGGCATCGGTGGGGAGGTGTCAGTGTCCTGTGGCTGCTGGGACAAAGCATCAAAAACTAAATGAATTAGAACACACAATTTTGGAGTCCAGAAGTGCAAGAACAAGTTATCAGAAGAGTTGGATCCTTCTTGAGGCTCTGATGAAGACACTGTTCCAGGCCTCTCCCCAACTCCCGGTGTTGAGCAATATTGAAGGTACTGTCTTGTTAATGCCCCACAGTAATCTCTCCATCTTAGCAATCCTTCCTCTTCCTGTCCCTTCATCTTCACGGTCCTCCCCATGTCTCCATCTTCACAGTCTATCCTGCTATGTCTCCATCTTAAAAATCTTAGCTCTTCCTGTCTCCTCATCTTCACTCATCTTCCCCCTTCCTGTGTCTCCATCTCCACCTCTCCTTCCCGTTCCTGTGTCTCCATCTCCACCTCCCCTTACCCTTTCTGTGTGTCTCCATCTCCGCCCGTCCTCCCTCTTCCTGTGTCTCTTCATCTTCACCAGTCCTTCCTCTTCCTGCATCTCTCCATCCCTGCAGTTCTTTCTTTTCTTGATTCTCTCTGTGTTCTTGTGACATTTCTGCTAGAAATGTTTGGGGGCCAATGTTCATTCATTATGATCTCATCCTAACTTGATCAACTCAGCAAAGATCCAATTTTCAAGTAAGATCATATGTCCAGGAGATAATATTTTTTCAACGTATGTTTTGGTGGGCACCAGTTAACCCACTATGAGAGGAGACCCTGAACTGACCAGGAATGGCAGGAAGGAGTGATCTTCAAGCTCTGAGAACAGAGGGATGAATGCAAAAGAAGAGCCAAGCTGGTACCATAAAACAGAAGACACTCAGCATGCACTCAGTGAACAGCAAAGCCCAGTCACCTGGGGAGGATGATGTCAGCAGCCAGCAGAGACTGCTCATGCGCAGATGCGTGGCACCATACACTGGGCCCAGAATGGCCAGTAGTCCTGTTGTGTCCAGGACTCAGAAGTTCTATGAACGGATGAGTTAGTAGTCAAGCTGCTGACTTCTTAGAAGTCTACATCTTCCTTTCCTACTGGTTTAGCCCCTCTACTCTTTTCTTCCCATGTACTTTGCAGTTGGCAAGGAATAGCAGTCACCCTGCATTGACAGCTTAATGTATGTGGTGCTCAGCTCAGCATCCTGTAAGTTTTCAGTGCCCAACCCCACACTGCACCGTGCCCACCTCACCAGTGAGCTACAGACATGAGCGGCACAACGTGCATGATGACCCTCGCTTCTTCCACCCTGCCTGTTCTGTCATTCCTCGCTGCTTGAGGGGAGCTGATGCCACCATCTCCAGTGGGAGGCGGAGCATCAGGGTAAACAAGCTGACAGATGTGTAGATGTCGATCGGGTGACCACATGTGAGCCAGGGGTCCAACGTGTCTTTTCATCCCTCCCACGGTCTGGGCTCTGACCTAGCCAGGACCCTCGCAGGGTGAGAGTGGCTTGCAAATACTCCTCCTGGGATCAAGTGACACAGGGCTTCTTGACACTGACAAGTTCTCATATTATTGTGCAAACAAGTGTGTGCAGTTGTAAAACAGCTTTATAACTATTACTTCATGGGAGCCATGTCTAGTAAACCCCAAACATGTAGATGTATCACAGCGTTAAGGAGATCACATGTGACTGAGCCATGCTGTAAAATGGATCTGTTTTGTGTCAGCCATAATTGAGTCCTGCCTTAGAAAATGCCAGCTAGGAGGGAAGCTCATGTTCCAGGGAGCTACTAGGACTGAATTGGGCAAAATAACCTCTTGGGGATTTAGGAGTCACTCAACCTCTCTGTACCCTAGGTTCCTCATCTTTAGAATCGAGATAATAATAGTGCATGTACTTCAGAAAGTTGTTGTGAAAAGCAAGCAACTGAATACATGTGAAGCCCTCATCAGTAGGACCCCTGCTATGCGATAAGGACAATGTATATTGATTGCAGTTATTATTATCACCACCACTACCAACACCTCCACCATCATCATAATCACCATGATGATGGTGATATCATCACCACCATTACCGCCATCACAGTCACCACCATCACCATCATCACTACCACCATCACCACCTTCATCTCCAATGCCATCATTGGCATCATCAGCACCATCGTCACCAACACCATCACCACCGCCATCACCATCACCATCGTCAGTGTAATCACCACCTTCACCATGACCACCACATTCACCATGACAGCCACCATCACTGTCACCACTACCACCTCCACCTCCACCATCCATGTCCTCAGTGTGCAGCTGGCCTCAAGCCACACTCAATGGGGGAGACAATGAGAGTGTGTGAAAGCCACCCGAGCTGTGTGCCTGGCAGGAGCAAGGCTGAGGCTGCAGTGCCATTTGTCATCCAGAGCAAAGCAGCTTGAGGCTGGCATAGGTCCTGAGTGCCTGACCCCAGGAGACCCCTGTCTCATGGCTGCTTTCCTCCTCCCCAGGCATCGCCCTCAGTGTGCTCCCCATGTACCTCAACGAGATCTCGCCCAAGGAGATCCGTGGCTCCCTGGGGCAGGTGACTGCCATCTTCATCTGCGTGGGTGTGTTTGCAGGGCAGCTGCTGGGGCTGCCAGAGCTGCTGGGAAAGGTAGGTACAGCCTCCCAGCCACCACACTGGCTCTCACTGTCACCGTGGGTGGGGTGGAGATGATTTCTGCAGAACTCACCCCTACCCATTCCGATTCCTGAGGGGTCCAGCCTTCTACTTATCACTGGAGAAGAGTTGGGAGTCATGGTTTCCAGGCAGAATACACAGTGCATTGAAGCCCTATGGGATGCTCAAACCCAAACACAATGACGATGTCGACGGCTCGAAGTACATTTGATTCGTGTTTGTTCCGCGCTTTAAAATCTACGTATGTAATCTGTTGTATTCCCACCACATGATCCATATGGGGTCATGCCACAAACGCTGCTCTGCAGTTTGCTCCTTTAATGCGTGTATTTTGAGCATCTTTCCAAGACATTAGTTAACGCCACCTCCTTCATTGTTTTTCCTATTCTGCTGGTCTGGCCTGCTGCTTAGAAGCAGGCAGACCTTTGTACTTGTGTGTGGTCTCTGCAAAGAGGACACTCATGCAGGTTGCAGAGGGGTGCAGTGAATCAAGGAAGGCTGCCCAGAAGAGGCGGCCTCTAAACTGAACCCTCCACCATGAGCAGGAGCTGGGCAGAGAGTGGGGGTGGAGCAGAGACATCCCAGAGAAAGGGAGTAAGAAAAGGCACTGAGATGGGGCAGAGCCCAGGGAAAATAACTTGGAGGCCCTGGGGTCCGATGAGAGCTCATTGGTGAAATGAAGAACCTGTTCAAGGAACCCAGACAGCTGCATGCAGGGAGAACAGGGAATCTGGGTGTTTCGGCAGCACTGGAGTGACATGGCCAGGATACTATCAGAAAGGGGCTCAGAGGCAGGGTGGGTGGGCATGGGCTAGGCGGGGAGGAGAGGCCTGACAAGAGGCCCCGGCTCCTGGTGGATATCCTGAGGCCATGGGTGTGGGATGAGGGGGAACAGGAGCCCCCGGACCATGGAGGAGGTAGAGTTAAGCTCTGAGTTGGGTGCTGGAGCTACAGCTCTGAGCACATCAGGTGTGGCCCATGTCCTTGTGGTGCACCACAAGTGGCAAGGGCACTGTGACCTTGGGAAGGTCACCCCACAGCTCCATGAAGTGTCATCCAGGGCTCAGGGAGGGTCTTCCTGTGGAAGTGACTGTAGATGTCTGACCCCTGGCTAGGGTTTGTCTGAGCTAGAACTGGTTTGGAGAGAGAGGGGGAATGAGAAAGGGTTCCAGGAGAAAGAACAGTTTGTGGGAGGCCCTGGCACTCATTCACAGGCAGAAAATCCAGAAGGACTAGAGCACAGAGACAGGATGGGGAGAGAGAAAAATGGATGAGGGAGGAGGAGGAAGCAGGACGACACAGGGCTGGAAGATCCAGGCTGGAAGGTCACACCTGTGCTCTGAACTGGCCAGGAAGGTGGCAGCTTGCAGGTGCTGGAGCTGTCGTGGCTGGGGAAATCGCCTGCCGCATCCCAGCTCTCCAGTCCCCATCACCACCCTGGTCACCGCTCTTCCTCGCCATCCATTCCTTCACTAGTGGCCACTACCACTGTATTTACAGTTTCCAGACCCTGGTATTGCGAGCAACACTGCAAGCACCATGGGAAAGCAAGTGTCTTTCTGGGGCGTGGTTTCTTTTCCTTCGGCATATGCCCAGAGCAGGGCTGGTGCGGCCACATGGCCCTCCTATTTTAAATTTCTTTGGGAATCATTATTTTCCATAACAGCTACACCAAGCCACTTTCCCTTCCACAGGAGACGAGGGTCTCTTTTCCCCACACCTTCACCAGCACTGTCCTCTTTTCTGCTTGATAACAGTCATCCTAACAAGCGTGAGTTAATGTCTCTGTGGTTCTGATTTGCATTTCTCTGATGTTTAATGACATTAGTCATCTTTTCATGTACCTGCTGTCTCATTTGGACAGATGGCTGTCCAGATTTTTTGCTGCTTTTTAACTGGGTTGGTTTTGTTTGTTGTTTTTGTTTTTGCATTGTTATGTAATTTTTTTTTCCTTTGTGCTTTGTACACTGACCTATTGCTGGATCTCTGGTTTGCAAGGGCTACCCTTTCCTTTTGCTGGTTGCTTCCTGTTCTTTAGAGAAGATTTTAGTTTTCTATAATCTCATGTGTTTATTTTTGCTTTTGTGATGTAAGTTTTTGTTGTGATGTGCAAAAATTACCCCCGGGGCAACATCTAGGAGCTTTTATGTTTTCTTCAAAGAGTTTTATGATTTTAATTCTTCTACTTAAATCTTCAAAGCATTGGGTTGACTTTTGTGTGTAAAGGTCCAAGTTCATTTTTTGAATGTGGATATCCAGTTTTCCCAGCATACTTTATGGAAAAGACTGTCTCTCCCTACCTTTTTGGTGTACTAATCAAAAGTCAAGCAACTCCATATGCTGAACTTTATTTACAGATTCTCTGTTGGGTTCCATTGGTGTACTTGCCTGTTTTTATGCTAGTGTGAGATTGTTTGATTGTGATAGCTTCATAATATAATTTTAATTCAGGAAGTACAACGTTTTCAACTCCCCCCTCCCACTTAAAATTGCTTTGGTTCTTTGATGTCCTTTATGATTCCATGTGAAATTTAGAATTATTTAATACATGAAAGATAGCTCATGTTTATAGATTGGAAGAATTGATATTATTAAACTGTTCATGCTACCCAAGTCATATACAGATTCAATACAATCAACATCAAAGTCCCAGTGGTCTTCTCAGCAATAAAAGATGACCACATTTTGAAGAATTTTGGACTGCATCAAGGAGTGAGACTGGATCTCACCCCAGACCGGAAGCACGGCACTGGTCCTGCAGAAAGCTGCTTGGGTTAGGATAAGGGCAAGAAGGATGGAGAGAGGAGATGAGCTGGAGTCAGGTTAGAAGGTGACAGGGAAGAGGAGTCGAGCATGACTTGTGGTTCCTGGCCCATCAGCCAGGGAACATGGTGGTACCAAACACTGAGCCAGGGAGCCTCAGAGAGGAAGGTGCTGCTCTGCAGGGGCAAGATGACAAACTCCCTGACATGAATGGCCAGGTCACAGCATGATTGCAAGCCAGAGCTGACCCAAAGACCCAGGTACCTGGGCCCTCAACCTGAGGACTGTTCCAGCCACAACAGAGTCTAGCACATTAACCCACGCCTGTCGCCACCACCTGGCTTTGGTCAGCTGGGCGACTCCCCATTGAAAGGATGGTCAGTGGTCCACATAAGTTGTCTTCCTCCTCAAATCAGACTCTCTGCATAGCCTTTGCTTTGGTTGGGAGGATGTTTGAGTAAACACAGTGAATATCCTTATTTTGAATTCATGCTCTGGGAGGGTAGCTGTCAGGTCCAGGGAAGGACATCAAATGGAAACTTTTCACACATCTCTATGGAGATTGATGACACATCAGCCAACTGAAATCCACCATTATTTCACTGTGTGAGACTTTCATTTCCTCTGTTTTAGTCATGTTTCTCACTTCCCTTCAAAGACTGAGACAACTAAACTTTGAAAAAAAAATTACAGAAAGCCACGCTATGCTTCAATCAGGTGGGTGCTTTGAGACACTAAGGCTGGAGGAAGTGGAGAGAAGATGACTTTTAGAATCAGCTGCCAAAAGGCAAGAAAGGGAAATAAGTGTAGGAATCAAAGCTGGTGACATGATTTAAACAGACACTCCGAAACGTGGTGGTGTTGGAACATTTCTGTGACATTTTGCTTCCAAAGGATATCTCAAAAAGCATAGTTACTTCCCTTGCAAAGAAGAAAGGCACTTAGGTCAAATTACAGGCAGAAACATGAGAAAAGATGGAACAAGACGTGGGCATAAACGGGGACGGGTTCATGTGCCCCTGACAAGGCTAGCTCTCTCTGAGGCCTGGCAAAGGTAAATAGGAGGGTAACGGGAGTTATCACTGTTTTCCTGGGAGTGGATCCCACGCAATTTATGCCATTCATTTCCAGTAAAGAAGACTTTGTGCTTACTTCAGAATATTTAGCAATGAGAAAAAGGACATAAAGTTTAAATAAATAAGGTATAATCAAGATGTAGAGTGTTTTTTTTTAATCAGTACCGGGGATTAAATAAATGACCACGCGCTTGCAAGGCAGACACTTATACCACTGAACTAAATCCCCAGCCCCAATACTTAAATTTTTAAAAATGCATTACAGTAAAAGCCTCATTGACACCAGTATTCATCTTACTAGAACACGCTCATCCTGTTGTTTTTGCCCCTTGCTGAAGCAGTCCTGGAAGTCCCTCCTCCGTGTATTTACGAAGTAGAATTTTTTTAAAAATGCAGGTGCCCAGTGCCTTCCACAAGAAGGCAGGCCCGTGGTAACATGACTGTGTGTCCCCACCGGCCTTATTCATCAGATCCGGCACCGTGTGCTTCAGGCTCTTCCCCAGAGTCAAAATGACCATGAAAGGTCCATATTCTGAATCAGTTCAGGACTGGGTGGCAGCCGTGTTCCCCACTAAAGACCCACACTCCCTCAGTTTGCAGGCTTGGAATGGACCACCTTCTGCACAAACCGGGACTCTAGTTTTTATAATTATTCCTGTAGATTTGTGTCTCAGAAATGGAAATGACAGAATGATGAATTTTAATTGCAAGACTTTTAAAAAAATATTGTCAAACTCTCCAGCATGCCTCAACCTCCCCTCCCCCAGTAGCGCACATGAGCATAAGTCCTCTGTGCCTGCGTCTTCAAGCCTTTCAATAACTTTTTGGTGTGTGGCAAGCACCAAACATCATTTGGTAGTTCTTTGATTATTGGTAAAACGTAATTTCTTACTTTGTTTCCTCTTGGTGCTCTGATCATGCCGGGTAGGAAATTTAATCTCTCATATTTCTGGAGGCTGGAAGTACAAAATTAGCATCACTGGGTGAAAACTCCAGGTGTCTGCAGGGTCGGGCTCCCTTCAGGGGGCGCTCCAGGAGACAATCCCTCCTCCAGCTGCTGTGGCTGCCAGCCTTCCTGGCCTGCCCGCAGCCCTACCCCTGCCCTGCCCTCCCGCCTCTGTGAGCACCCTGCCC